AGCGTCTAACAGCCCCTCCCCCCGTTGTAGCAATTTCAGATTTCCGCCGGGAAATGTAAGTTTTCGGGGTGGGCCCGCACTGGTAAATCAAATGCCCGCCCAGAAGTACCTATGTCTGCTGTCCGGTGTGTTGTATTCATTTTCGCTGATTTAATCTGTCTTAGAAAAACGATGTGTTTTTAGGATTTTCTAAGAAGGCATATAGGAACAAAACAATGGATGTAGTTTGATGAAATTTATCCATGCTGAATAATTTTTAGATGTGGTTTAGGGAGGAATATAGATTATATCTAATATATGCACTGATGAAGCATGCCATGAAGTCTGTGTTGATTGATCAAGAGGCTGTGTTGCGGCATAAAGTTTGTTTTATTTTTGTTTGTAGCGTACAGGACCATTGCAGCAGGGGCGTCTAGGCCAGGAGTGCCCCCCTGACCTCTGACCCCCCTGTGGCCCCCCTAAAAATGAAAAGTGAAAAAAATGAAAAATGTATGATTTATTACACGATTTATTGAATGACGGAAAAGGCGGAACTAACGTTATTCGTCATTCTAGTCAGACCCATTAGAGCGGTGCACTCACTTTCACTGTCCGGCTGAAGTGCGCGAAAAACAAACACTTTTCATCTCGTATCATCAGAGGCTGTTGCATCCAAGAAAGACTCATTGAAACCTACGTTTTGAGAGACTACCACGATAATTGAAGGTGAAACTATTGTATCCGTGTAATTGTAGATGTAAAGTAGAGATGTAACTGTTCATTGCCTTTATTTTTATATAAATATGATATGGTGTTAGTGCAAAAATTGTACTATAACTTAAGCTGAAGCTAACAGTAATAACTATAAGATATATCTGAAATAAATAAGTGTACTGAAACAAATACCAATAACTGTATTGCATTGTTTTCTTATGCGCAATTACTTCATACTGTCTAGTTCTCTTTTTCGTCCTGCATTTATTGTGCCCCCCTCAGAAAATAACTGGCCCCCCAGTGGCCCCCCTAGTCAATTTGGTCTAGAACCGCCACTGGACTCCACAGATTCCATAGCCAGGTATCAGGATCTGTGGGTTTCCTTATTCCTTCAATTGAAATTAATAAATCAACACGTAAACAGCAAGGAAAGTGCAATTTGGGAAACGATAATGACTTTAAGTTCTGCTTCTGCTTTGTTTGTTTTTCCCAGGGTAGGGGTTTTATAAAAAATTACATCAGTCATTTATTCTCCTCAACAGGGCTTGGGAAGTCATGATTGGATTAGTCTGTTCAAGGCTGTAATTATCTCAAGTACTGTTTCTGAAGTACTTTACTAAGGTTTCATGTTGAGGCACTTAAGTAGATTCTCCCATTTTATGCAAACAATGCTTCTATACTTTAACATGAAGTCCATTTTGAATACACTGAATTACTATAAACTGCCTAAAACAAGTAAGATCAGTCCGCTCGGTAACCAACATCTGCGGCGCCGGACGTGAGGAAAGTGACAGGCCGACTCCGCGCGCGCTATTTTCGTTTTTGTGAAAAGTAGAGACATAGTAGTCTCCGACCAACGCGTAGGTTGCTTTCTGAGTAACTTTGGATGCAAAACTTCGTGATGGCTGTTATTAACTTCCACTTTGATAACAACTAGGCACATTGACATCAATTTCATGCTCTACATTGACAAGTAACGGAAATAAAAGATATATTTAAGCTACTATACCACAATCAACGTTTTTAACATGATATTGAATCGACTACGATTGTCCATTAGTATTGATATTCGTATATAGACTTGTATTTATTCACATGACTTGTTTATGGTGTATGACATAACGTAACAACAGAATACGCGTTAATGAAGCGTATGCACAGCATCAAGAGAAAAGAGGACGTAAGATAAACACGGTGGGAGTCTTTTATTGGACCGGGGGGTCCACACGGGGAATCAGTAACCAGATCTTGGCGGTGACCTGAGGTGTCTAAGGTATCGGTCCACTAGTCCTAGACACACCCAAAGGAATAAGGAAGTTAACTCTTAATTATTTAGTTGTGCATTTGTCGTTTCCTTTCACGTTAAACCCTTTGTTCTATTACTGAAATACAGAGACGAAGACCGAAACAAACAAAAAGGGGTCCCATCCCGT